CTCTCATAAACACTGTAACATTACGAATAATTAAGAAGAGATAATTTAAAGTTTTACGAGCTTTGACCGCTGCACACCACAGGCTATAAATTTCCGGAGGCAAAAACGGGCTGACATAAATTCTCTGCTTACCCCCACATCCAAAAATTGTATCTGCTGTATTTTTCGATGATTTGTAAGACTCACCAAGTATTCGATTTTTCATGTCTATAGAAACTGCGCGTGCAAGTATGCCGCGAGCTAAAGTAGAAGAAGAGTTTAAATTATGTGTCTTTCTTTTAGGTGACCAGGGGCGTATAGGGCGTATTTTGTTTTAACATCTAAATTACTCATATTTACTTACTTTTTTATTTTTCTTTAAATTTAACGCTTTTTATAGTAGCTATTTGCATAATTAACAAACAAGGAATATTAAGATGAAGGGCAAAAATCATTATTAAAATTGCCGTACGTGCTCTTATAGTGTCGAAAAATAAAAGAACTATACAGATTGATATCTATAGTATCTATTCGGACTAACTCAGAGATTTTATTTGCACATTGATGCAAAGTATTATCACTAAATTCAGTAACCGTAAAATTTTAAGTATGTAGTAATAATTAGTCTGCTTCAACAAAAAACTGTATATTTTATAATATGGATATCAAATTGTATGTTGCTTGATACGATTGATTGAAAATATTGCACGTTAATTTTGCAGTCTGTAAAGTATATTAAGTTATAGCAACTTTCAGAGTTTCTACTTGTTTTCTAAAACTAATGTCTTACTTTAAAATCCATGAAAATTCTGGCATAAATTTTATTTATATAATTTTTTTTAATTCATGATTCATAACTAACTCATTTATTATTAAATTTTGTATAAATTGTACAATGATCACATGTTTTATGAGTTGGTAAAAATAAATGTTATATGTTCCAATAAAATATAGTTCTGACTTATACGTTGTACTAACCTTAAGTAATTTTCTCTTGCTGAACTAATTGTAGCCAATTCAACATTTCTTAAACGTTCCTGAAATGTTTCCGAAAGATTTCTGAAACTTTTTTAATACGTTTCTTGCACATTCCCGATACGTTGAATCTGCGATCGCTCACGTAGCGGTGAAGGCAAACACAACGTGTCAGAAACGTTTCTGAAACGTTTCCAGATGATCGATCCTCCGCGGACATTTCAAGGTTTCAGAAACGTTTCTGAAACGTTCTTAACGCCCATAAAGAATCGTTTCTAGGTTTCAAAAGAAACGTTTCTGAAACGTTGTGGAAACGGACCATGCTATGTGGGATATCTTTATCGATAACCTCCGGGGCTTGTCCTACAGTTCAAAACAATTTCGATGAGGAAAAATAATAAACCAGTGGTTACAGCTGAACTGCCATCTTAAAAAAAATAGCTGAATCTTTTGCAAAATAATACGAGATGTCAAATTAAGTATTAACGTACGGAAAAAATAAAAAAAATGTTTTGATATCAAATTCTTTGCATATAATTATGAGCATTCAGTTCCACGATTTAATTGAATGTAAGATTGATAGATTACAGTCAAGCAAGAGCGAGAGAGCAAGAGTCAGTTAAATATATTTAGCATATACTCGGTTGCAGTCAAAAGAGAAGAATTCGTGTTGTCGCTTGCTTTGGCTGTGCGCTCAGATATATAGCTATAGTCAACATTTCCACTCTTCTCCTCGTATAGGCACACATTCGGTGTACCCCTTCTGCGTGTCGCCAAAATGTGCGCCTATATGCTCATTTCCACGCGAATCCACTTCTCTTCTTGTAGGCGCACGCTCTTTGATACGAGTCTCGCACTCTCGAAAAATGTGCGCCTTGGTTCGACGGTTGGCCGCGGTGGGTCGCCCCAATCAGTGGAAAAAAGTTGTCTCAGGCCGTAGCATTGGCGTTAGCAATCTTTCTACTCATCTCTGCCTGCAGCGGATTGCATTAAATTTTAACTTCATTGATTCGTTATAGCACCAGCTTGGGTGCTGTTATCGTTACTTTGAGTTTATAGAGCTAGGTAATTTGTTATTTATAATAATTTCCCATAATTAATGAAATTGGTTAGGTAGAAGTTTCAGATGATTATCTACTGAATTCTCTTATGCACCAGCAAAAACAAAGCATGCCGTTCAGTAGCCTGTGCAGGCTTGTTGCAGGTATGCCGTGATCCAGTTAGGATGCACGCCGTGCATTTGGCTCTATATGTAAATACAGAAAACTGCAATTGCAGTGCATATGCTTAAATTCCTTCTTTTTCTTGTTGGGCTGGTTGGGCGTTGTCTTCATGTAGTTTTTTTCCAATGATTTTCATTGTTTATATTACTTAAAAAGTCAAATTTTTCCAGCAAATCAGTACCCATTTGTAACATTGGACCTCGGGAATCAAGCACACACAAAGTAAGTTTTTTTAAACTCAATTAAGCATATTACTTGCTGAATAATGCAAATTTGCACAGCTCGTATATGCACGATACTCTATTAGAGGTTATGATCCCTCGTGAGTTGTATATTAATTATAATTAGTTTTATAACAATAATAATATGACAATCGTACGATTTTTATAGAGTCATTTGCGTAAATACACGGTGTTTTTATAGTGTTGAAAGGGTGTATCTCATGTCTCATGTAAGCAAAAATGCACTTTTCCTTTCAAAATAATTGCACCCATTGAAATTAAAAATTGTGAAAAAATTAGTGAAAGGCAAACATTTTTTTATTCATAATGTTAACACGTTCTTTAAAAAGTGAAAATATAGGAAGATTAATTTTAAACAACATTAACAGAAATAACGATGATGATAATTTCTCACAGGATTGGAATAGGCAAAACAGTCATGCGAAACTATATGTTGGTTCTCTACATAAGTATGTCATTGTGTTATTGAGTATTTCTGAGTTACAGTTTTTCCATTTGATTTTTGAACTTCATACCTATTAAAGAGTAGCATAAATATCTAGAAATTAAAAGTATTGGAATTTGCTAGTAGTCATATAACAAAAAACTTTGTATACTTTTATAAGTAAAAACTTTTTAGGTGATTTACATTGTAACTTATCACACAATTAAGAGTATGTTTGTAAAAAGCAGTTGCTAAATAAAGCAAAATGTAAAGTTAGGTTATATTGGAGAAAATAAACAGCTTTTATGGTAACATTAATTACGTTGATTCAATTATTTATATGTGTTAATTTATATATTGATGAAATATTCTTGCATGCTAATAAAAAGAGGTTATGGATGCAGGATATATGCACGACACAAATTTCATCTCGCGTGAATACAGCCTGCAGCCCTGGTGAGCGCCCGGTACATGCACACTGACAGCACGACGTGCCCTTTCCACGCCGTGCTTGCAGTGTGCGTTCAGAATTGTTACAGCTGGATATCACGGTGCTTGCACGCGTGATCCAGGCCGTGCTCCACGGTGCGGTCACAGTGCCGTCACGATGCTATCGGGGCTTGAAGTAAACACTCTAAGGCTATAAAACACTAAGTAAAGAGTTCTGTTATAAATTGTTTGTCGAAGTAAACAAAATAATTAAACTGAACGGTACATTACGTTATTAAGACACACAGTACTAACATAAGCGCCTTAGGACGTGGTTGTTGTACGTTGGTACCCAAGTTGCGTGTAATGTTTTCCTTACCGAAGGCGTAAAGCAGCAGTTTCACTTTGTGCCCATGGTGAGAAAGTGCATAACAATCAATTTATTAGTATTCAAATAATATAACAGAGGCAAGGTGTGTTATCACCTACGTTAACAACCCATGGCGTAACAGCAAAACTCCTGACAGAAGTTGTACGATTAAAAAAACATTAATTCTATGGCTCTACTAGGAGGCTCTACTCCTTTACGCACCATCCTTAGAACTTTTATCAAATTCTAATAATTTTTATAATTTTTCGAAAATTTAAACAAGTAAATCTTTCCTTATGAGTTTTTAAACTCTTTGTAATTAGATAACCTACAAATTCAATTTCTATTTTATCTTCAATTTCTCCAAATTTTATTTTAAAATATTTCCACTTTAAGAACTAAATGATTTGTCTTGAACTGTAACATCACGAATTAAAGGCTGTACTCATGATACATCCTCTTTTTTAAGAATTATGATTTCAAATCAATGAAGCTTTTACTTCAAAGCCATCAAATATAAAATTATGTTAAGATAATTCTAAAGCTATTGCAAAATAGATGAGAGTTTTTCTTGAAATTATCTAACTCTATCCCTATTCGAACGAAGCAACTTATTCAGGCCAATCATATACATATATGTTAATAAGTGTGCGCGCTGGTGCCACTTTTGTTGAATGTTCAGTCGCGGTAGCTAGGGCTGAGCACGCTGGGTCCAGGCAGGTTTGGTAAGGAAAAGGAGGATGCGAGAGGTCACCTCAATGATCACAAGCTGCTTCTTTGTTTTAATTATGAATGTTTATTCATTAAAAATACTCCCTAACTGCTCTAAAATCAAGAAAAAGGCCACGTTGGCGAGGGACACGAAACTTTATGTGTGTGGCTGGCTCGCGTGCGACACGTCCGTACTGTTCGGCTTCCGAACTGAGAAGAAGGAACGAGAAGGGCAGCAGTAGCGGCGTGGCTCTCCTCGCTGAAGAGAGTCGCGCGGCGGCTCTGCCTTCTATTGGCTCTACTGTTCAGCTAGTAGGCAGCAGAGCAGCAAGACTACAATCGGCCATAGGCTTTAAACAGAGAACGGCTGCAACATGCCGCCCGCCAAACGTCGCCTACAGCGCGTTTAATTAATAAAGTACTACGGTTCCAGTAGAGGCTAATGAAAATTAAAGTAAGAACTGAATGAATATTTTGAAACGCGGCTTACAATCATTGCGGGTAAAGAAAAGAAATGCCTCAACTGGCCTTAACTAAGTTACCATTACAAACGTGGTTAGAAAATGATGGGCTTATGGCCAATAAATGAGTAATATCTAATCTTCAGTGATGACACTGGGCGTACCGCCCTCCCTGGAAGGGCACCCTTAGTTATCTGGAAGTGAGGTTGTTGGCGAAGCGGTGAGTGGCACCAGCTTGCTGACAGGCCGACGAAGTTCAGACTTGGCCGTGTGGACCATTGCCACCCGACATAGGCCATCTTCTCCTGGGAAGGTTCGCACGATGCGGCCCATGAGCCACTTTGTGGCAGGTTGAAGCTCGTTTTTGATTAGGACTACTTCTCCCACTTGAAGGTTGGGCTGAGCACGCGTCGACTTGGTACGTTGCTGCAGCTGAGTGAGATATTCCTGACTCCATCTAGACCAGAAGTGATTGCGGATTTGCTGCACGTGCTTCCATCTGGAACTGAGACAAGTTTTGGAATCCAATTCTGTAGGGTCAGGAGGAGAAATAAGGGCGGCTCCTATCAGAAAGTGTCCAGGGGTTAAGGCGACTGGGTCTTCATCGTTTGAACTAAGATACCCAAGAGGCCTTGAGTTTAAGCAACCTTCAATTTGACTCATGAGCGTAGTGAGCTCCTCATAGGTAAGGAGAGCCTCTCCAATCACGCGCTTGAGATGATGTTTGCACGCCTTGACAGTAGACTCCCAGAGTCCGCCGAAGTTCGGTGCGTAAGGTGGCGTGAAGTGCCAGCTGNAGGGCGAACAGCTTCGCAGGGCCATAATCAACGAGTTCGAGCCGGGCGATGACTGGGAAACGTAGCGTATTCTCAGGATTTTTTCATCGGCAAGAAAAATGAAGTAATAAAGTATACTAACATTAAAACTGAAACTATCGTAATTTATTGTTGCGTACAGTTCAATCAAGTGTGTTGTATGGTAGGTCGTTCTTTCTTTTTTGAGTTAAAGTTTTATATATATATATGAGCCTGCATGCGATGCGATACGCGAAGTGAGCGGAACAGTATTGAGGCGTGAAATATGAAAAAAAATTTTCAACGACAATTTTTAGTTTTAATGGTGTGAAAGGCTGTGTCGAAGTGTTGTGTATAGGGTGTGTAAGCGTGTGTGTGTGTTGTTTTAATTTTTAATATGATGCACAAAAGATTAATGTAATAAAAAAAACTGCAAGAAGTCTCGCAGCGCTTGCATTTTTGACTTGGACCCTTGCTCACACGCGCCTTCAACGCGCTTCAACATGTTGCAGGTAACGTAGCAGTGTTATAGATCTCGTCCGCATGGAAGAGCGCCTGCTCCTTGCCCCCTTTCCGCGCCGCGGGCTCCCCGTTGGGTTGGAGAGGGGCAAGGAGCAGGCGTTTTTCTCCTCCCGCAGTCTTCCCACTAGTCTCTCAGTTAGAAAGAGAAAGAGATACGGTATGTATTGCGCTCTCTTTTGTCTTGACCACAGCTGACTCGTTGGACCACGCAGTCCATATATATAAGTGTATGGATTCGAAAGACAACTCATTTAAGAAGATGGCGACACCGCGGACTTAACCAAATTTCAAATCACCTCAATTAACGCGCGAATTTTGAAAACAACGACAAAAGCACAGTACCATCCCAGTATCAGCTGTCGACTTAAAAGTTAACCGAGGAGATTCGAAACTCAATTCAGTCAAGAGAGCGGTGGTGTTGCCGTTGTCCTAACTAAGTATAGACTTTCGGAACGAATCGTCAGCATGTCGCACAGCCGATACAGTCTGATTTCGACCATACAGGCATCTTTTTTTTCACGTATCAGCTTTTTGTGATCGTGTATATACATATTTTAAATATATACATACGTACATAAATATATAGGTATACAATACGTTGTATACAATACACATTTTATACATGTATATATACTTTTGTTAACACTCGCAATTGATGTATCATATTTATTTTAGTAAAAGACCTCGATTAACTTATGAAATTTATAATAAATTTGAAGATCATCAATGCTTTTTTTTAAAAATTGTAGTTTTAAAAAATTGTCTTCTGTAAAGGTACCTACGAGAAATCCGCTGACAAGGCATCATTAGCTGAGGACACATCGGCAGTCGATGAGCACTATGAAGCTTCCCAAAATAAAAATGAAAGGAAAAACTGGCACCGCAAGGATTCCGACGCATCCCCTCCGCCAGCGCAAAAACTAAAGAGAGTGAGAAGTGTTGGAAAGCTTTGTCCAAGTAATAGGAAAAATGACGAGCAGTCAGATGAAGAAGATGTAGATGAGAGCATCGGTAATGATATTAACTTATCATTTCCACATTTTTCCGATTAATCTAGTAAGTTCACGTTTTGCAATAAGAAATAAAAAATAAAAGGCGAAATACCAAATCACAGTCTTTCCTTTTTAAAAGCTTTTATTTTACTTTTTTTGTGGCTGTCTGTTTATTATAACAAATAAATTAACACGTGCGTAATATGTAGTTAACTTGAAATATAATTATTGAAATAAAATGAAATGTTCAGTGCTCTGTAAAAATTCAATCTAAAATTTTTGATTGCATATATTATGTGTTTTTTAAATTACGTACAGTTCGAACTTCTGTGTTGGTGGATTTGCTTATTATTGTATGATGTATGCATATAGTCAGGCATGCCTTATAATAATTTTTAAACGAGTTTTATCACTTTCAAACATTTGTTTAATAATCATTAGGAAAAACAGCGTCCAATGATCTGAATGCCAGGATGCAAAATGTGCAACAACCACATAGAGACAGTGATCAAGAAAACCTTGGTGTGAACCCAATTTCAAAATCAAACGACCCAAAAAGTAAGAAGTAACATGATTCACAATTTGCATAAATTATGGAAATATTGATATCAATCAACACGACCATTACAACTGCTTTCTTACAGCCTTTAATACACTATTCGTATATTTTTTCAGCTTTAACTGATGGGTATACGAATATTCCAAGAAACTCTCATTCTGTCGCAGAGTCAACAGCAACAATCCAACAGCATCGATCTTTCTCGTCTGTTGGTAAGAAACGTGACAAGAATTGCAACATTTTGTTTTTATATTTAAGCATGATAGCGTGTATGAGAAGTACGTCGACTGGCGTATTTGAGCCACGTAATAGGCTTAGTCATCACAGTAGCTCGTATACTTACAACGCCTACAACATAAGTTACAACTCAGAATCATTAAAAAATTTATTTGGCTATTGCGGAACATATACCAGCTAAAAGTTATTCTCTCAACTTCTGAGTCGTAAGTTGTGTGGTCTATGTCCTAGATCATTGCAAGAAATGTAACTTTTTTTTGTTCAAACAATTTGTGTGCTACGGTAAAATTAAATTATGTTTTTGTCCTTTTTTTTATTTATTATGTTTTAGAAAACCATATGTCTAGCGAGCCCAATCATCCAGATTCGCGTTATGTTACAAAACATGATCTACTGAATATGAGCGTTTTAAAGAGATTCATATACTTAGTGGGTTAGTATCAACTTTGCTCGATAAAATATTTAATTCAAAAATGAGTATGCTTGTACCTAATTATACAATCGTCTCTTGCATAATCATTGTTAAAAAATAAAAAAAAAAAGAATCTATTTCTCGTTACGTTTGTTACCGTCAAATTATTTATATTAATCAATTACTTTTTTTTTTTTTTTTTTTTTTTTTTTTTTTTTTTTTTTTTTTTTTTTTTTTTTTT